TTGCGAGTCCGGGGCCTGCACTCTGCAGTCTCTAAATTTGTGCGACAATTGAGCCAAAGTTCAGCTGTATAGCAAACAAAAAAAAAAAAAAAGAGAAAATAGAAAAATAAAAAAATATAGTCAGAGAGTTTATTGCCTTTGGCTTGGGCTGTTGCCGGGGCTAAATTTGAATTCAGCTCAAATTGAAAGTTAGCAAAGGCAACAACACACAGTCACACACAATATAGCAGCTCTTTAGCCCCCGCCGGGCGTCCCTTCTTCGCTCGAGTTCAGTATTTATGCCTTTTCGAATGCAGCTCAGCTTTAATTTAAATGGATTTCTCTGCCGGCTACCATGGCAGACATATGGCAGCATTCGCAATGGCCAATGGCATTGTGACTGGGCGGGCGGAGGAGGGGGGGCCCGAAGAACTCACGACTCCCGACACCCGATTTCCGAATGCCAACTTACGACTGGCGACTGGCGACTGGTGACTGCCTCCTGGCAGCTGCTAAGGATTGATTGTGCTTGTTGATATTTTGTCAAATAACGCAAATAAATACACAATTACACACTCAAGTGAGTCCAGGGGTGGGCCGCAGCGAGTCCAATTTGTGGGGTTCAACTGGGCAGGTCTCTCTCGCATGCACACGCACACACACACACACATGCTGCGTGATCCTGTTGCTGTCTGGACGCACCGGCTGGCCGCTTGCTGTTATCCTTGTTTAAAGGATTTTCATTTGTTTAAATGTGCTTTATCGAAAATGGCCAAATGGCCAAATGGTCGCTGGCCATGGCTGCTGCCGCCACGTAAAATTTATACTAGCTGCACACTGGTACAAAATAGGCGAATTGTGCTGGAAATGGAGTTAATTATGGAAAGAATTAAAGTTGCCTTGAGATAGCTGAACTAAAATCAATTTAGACACAAAAAATTAAAAATGAAATGGAAAATTAAATTTATTAAAAGAAATGCAATTAATTATAAAAATCTTGATTGATAATTAAACATTTAAAATCTTTATATATATTCGTATTTGAAGGCTGATATATATCATATACATATATACATATATATGTATACATATACATATGTAAATATGCTTAGGCAAAATAAAATAATATTGAAAATTTCTGATTAGGTAAAAGTTATTAATTAAGGACCTCTTATGGGAAACTAAAAACAATCTTTAAAAATTTTACAAAAATCATAAAATCGATAAATCAATGGGAAAAATAGAATAAAATTAATTTAAATGTTTTGTGAGAAAATGAAGCTTTGAAACAAAAAATGGAATTTCTTATTAATTTTTTTGTTATTTTTGATTTATATATATAAATACTTCTAAGCAATTATATTTTATATGAATATATAGACATTATCTTCATAATAATTTTGGCTTCTTTAAGAGGTTTTTTATCCCTGGCTAATGAGCACCGTTTTTGCTGCCATTATCGCCACCTGCGGCCCACTGTGCAGCGACATTTGACTTTGTCATTGTAGTCGCTGTTGTTGCCGTTGTTGCTGTTGTTGTCGTTTTTTGCCACACGCCCGTAAATTCCAATGTAAAATGTTGCATTTATCTTGTAAAAATAATAAATCCAGCAAAGGGACTTTACTCTCTCACGCTTGGCAGCACAGGGGACGGTGTGCAGGGGCGAGCAAGGCGGCGGTAAGGGCCAGAATTGTTAGCTAATAGCCAATGCCCGATGGAAGGAGCTGTGTAGATTTAGCTAATGATATAAACAGTCGAATAGACATTTAACCCTTGACCGGGTGAGGGTTGTGGCTAAGAGGGAGACAGCAACAGAAAAAAATCAACAACAATAAAAAAAACAACAACAGCAGCTGCCATTAATTTAATTTATTTATTGGCTGCTGTTTCATTGGCGCAAATCCCGAATACAGTGCGATAAATTTAGTCAAATGTGAAAATTGTGTGTGCAGTGCAGTTTGCACACACACACAGATGCACACACACACACACGCGTGTTTGTCAAGCGAGGATTTTCATTATAAAATATCGCCTGGTATGCGGCTCGAATATGGAAATGCAGTTGAGCCAAACAAACTGGCAAAAGAGTTTGCAATTTATTTCAGAATAAAAGTATCTCTGCTCTGACAAATAGTGTGAGATATGTTTTTGCGCAATGCGGCTAACACAGCCGCCAAATGCCAGAGACTCACACCAGCCCCCCCTACTTCACCCGGTCACGCCCACTAGCCCCACCCTGCCGCAACGCCAGCCCACCCATTCAGCTGGAAATGCGACATGTGACGCGGCGTCGCTGATTTATTTGCATACAAAAGCGCAGACGTGCATAAAAAATACACAAATTCAACAAGAATAATAAAAAATATATGTATATAAACAAACAAGCAGCAACAACAACAACTGCGTAACGCCCCTTTTTGACGCCAGCGCGGAAACTGGGCTAGTTGACTGCGTTGCCAAATGGCAAATGGCAGAAGGTGGGAGCACACGATGCGACCTTTGAGAGTTCATAAAAAATGCATTACAAATCAGAAATCAAAATGTATTTGCCTACGACCGCGCATAAAATGAAACATGTTACGTGAAATGGAATTATATGTATTTGACTCAGTGCAGAAAACGAAGCTCATTAGCTAAAAGTAAAATATATATAAAATATAAAATATGCATATAATAAACTTCTTGACCAGTTGACTAGAGCTTATAAATATTTAAGTGAAAAATTACTTAAGAAAATTAATTTTACTATTGACTAAATAAGTCGTAAAAAAAAAATTGAAATAATAAATCATATTTCACGAATATATAATTATGTAGTTATTAACGAGCTTCAAGTCAACAAATGTGATTATAATGATATTAATCTTAATATAATAAATATATAATAAACTTCTTGACCAGTTGACTAGAGCTT